TTAGTGCTCCACAGGAGTCATTTCTGCATTCAGTTTTCACAGTGCCCTTGCACATGTTGGTATCTTGAATTGCTTCTCCTCTGCTGTTGTCTTACAGTTAACAGCAGAAAAGATTTGCCTTTTTAAGCTGACTTCACTTTCTGGCAGTAATTCCTGGTTCCAAAGCGTTGGCCACTTTGTCAGCCTCTCTTTGCACTTGACCTTGGATGTGCACAGTGTTCATGAGGTAGCTGTGCTGGTTTGAGTGGTACACAGTGTAGTCTCTGATTCTCCTTCATTGTAATGAGCACTCAAAAAATATCTGAAGAAGCAATAATGGTGAAATTTTCACATTTCAAAGAAAGCATATTTACTATCAAAACTTCTATTCATTAGTAATGCTTTGTAACTGAATAAGAAACAGCTGTTTTTGTTGTTGTTTTTTTTTCCCTGGGGAAATGATGTTTTATTTGATAAAGAAATCAACTGCATACATGTGTAGACAATTTCTTGGATATTTTTCCTTTGCTCTTGCTAGAGATTCTGTGTTTTCTTATTTATTTGTTGGCCAATTCTGTTCACTTAAATTAGCTACATCTTTACATGTGGGCAGGTGTCATAATGCAGCTATCTTCTTGGTTTTCTGTGCCTTCACTGGGAAGCAGTTGTTGGATGCCGATAGCATTGGAGCATTTGCACGGCTTGAAGCCCGGCGTGTTAGCTAAGAGCCAAAGCACTGATGTTATGAAGGATATTTCTTCAGTCTCTTAAATATTTTCAGAGGAGAAAGTTTACTTTCATTTAATGTCCTAAACTGGGGAACCGCATGGCAGACAGAGCACAAGAGCAGTACAGTGAAGCCTGCAGTGTTTTCTCATGTACCTTTTGCCATAAGTTGAGCAACATGTGTGGTTGTACATATTGAAAGTTTATTTTCAGGGTCACCTGTGTTAAACAGACCAGAAGAGGGTTTAGGCAAATAAGTGATTAAAATCAGGCAACTCTTTTTAATGTGCTCTTGAGGCCTTTCCTACTTGTTCATATAGAATAGTACCTATGGATATGAAGTGTTGGCTCTATTAACGTTCTGTTGTGTGATTCAAGTGGAAGTAGTTTCTTTATAGTTACATTACAAGTACTGTTAGTAATTTTTGTTTCGTTTTTTAAGCTTTTGTACTAAGTGTATAACAAAAGAAGGAAGAAGATCCTCAGCTCTAGCAGCAGCTAGCTTCTGCTCAGGCTCCCCAACTTCTTGCTGTGCAAAGACTCGATCTGGCTGTGGGTGCTTGCACGCTGTTCGAGTGTGCGTGCACAAACCAGGGCAGCTCCTTCATTTCAGGGAGACGAGCTCCGCATTCTGCTCTTCTGGCCGCTGCCCTTTCTGGAGGTCAGAAATGTGACCTCACATGTGCTGCTTTTGTAGCTTTTTCCTTTCAAACGCAAAAACACACAAGCGGATTGATACGTTGGAAAAATTCAAAGCTCAGTTGACTGCAGTACAGCATTTTCATCTGTGCAGCAGCTCACACTGGGTGCTGACATCTTCTGTTCCACATGACTCGTGGGGTGCAGGCTGCGCTCTGCCCTGGCACACGGCTGCCATGCGGCCGCTGCCCTCTGCCTCCCGAAGCCACCGGGTCTGCGGGGCGTGAGGGGCTCTGCTGCTTCCTGCAGCCCTGAGAGCCCCTTCCCAGCAGCACCAGCCAGCCACACAGCTGCTGCGGTTTGTTACTGCACTCATTTGTTTCTTTTTGTACTTAAGAAATAAAGACCTTTCCTGTTGTCTCAAGCGGTTGTTGGTTTTGCAACAGTATTCTTTAAAATCTGCTTTCTGAAAACATTTGTGTTTACAAGCTGGAGTGCAGCACTGTTGTCTTAACGTTCCGACTGTCCCTAATTGCTATGACACATGTAACTAATGATGTTTTGTGCTTTCAAGGAGCGCACTAAAAAGGTGATGACATACGAGTTTCTGAATAAGGTACTGTGCAACTTGTGCAGTGGAGTTTGTGCAGACCTTATGTAGCGTAATAAGCAGCTTTCCTGTGCCCATGTTTGTTTCCCGTCAGACTGGCCTGTCTCCAGCAGCGAGCTGCATCGCAGGAGGAGAGCAAAGCAGAGTGCCGACCTCGCTGCCTGCCTGGGTCAGGCTGGAATTGGCTGTCGTGATTTGTGGCAAGTGTGTTGCGCGCGCGCGCACACACACACACGCATTTGTGAGGAAATTGAAAACATAAAACTTATAAGTAAATTTCAGATTGCCCTTTTTTTGTTCGCTCTGCAGCCGCATTCCGCTTCTTGGAGTCTTTGAACTTCAAATTCTGTGAATAATCTCCCATCCACAGCCTTTTTTGTGTTGCTTGACCAGCTGTGTGTGTGTGTGTGTGCACGCATGTGCGCGTGCTCGCATGCTGTGGTGCTCTGGGCAATTTCACTGCAGAGCTCTTCCCTTCCTTTGTTTAACCTCTGACCCGTGAAAACAAGAGTTAATCAAAACTTCTAAGGTAGCTAAGAGGAAGGGGAAGTGTTTGGTTACAAATTAAATATGAGCAAGTCATAAGCCATAAATCTTCAGCAGTGCTACCAGTTGTGCTGCTTCAGCTGCATGTGGCACAGAAGGACTCTGACTGAATTCTGCCCGGTCTCTATGGCAAGGGGCTGCTCAGAGGCACAGCCCACACCTTTCTTCTTCATGACAAATATCTCGGAAGAGCTTCAGATAACTGTTTCTTGATCTGTGATAGCGATTCAGTAGTCTGAATACCTGCAGGACTCTACAGAACCTTAAACGTTTAAAATATATTGAATTGAATTGAATTTTAAAGCTGGTTGTGCACCTCTTTGGCTCTTTAAAAGTAGAAGGAGCTCCCACAGATTCCAGAAGTGTAACTTCTTCTGGTGGTAATAAATTTGCCATGCAATTCATCTGTAATAGATAGGGTAAATATACGGATATTATAGTAGAGTAAGATGGCAGAGCTTAAAGTGATTGATTATGTGATATATTCATTGTGTCAGACTGGCTGAAGTTGCTTTATGGAAGCTCTGCAGAGATTCACAAGTGATTTCTTTTTGCGTTCTTTATGCGTCATATGAACCCGGACTAAATATTTAGATCTTTAATAAATACATAGATTTTTTTCAAGACTACTTAGCGCCGGTTGTAATTCTATTTATTAAGACATTATTAAACTTTTTAGCTGAATCAGCAGCTTCTGGGAGTTTTCCAGAGTATCTTGTTTTTGTTGTTGTTGTCTTGCACCTCTCTTGAGCACAAGCATGAATCCCTCTGTGTATCGCGTTGTGTTGAGGTCTGCCTCAGACACTGACTTATTTCCTGAGCAATTAAGCAGAACTTCTATGTGCTTTCCTGAAGTAAGCTGTGGTTTTCATTCTGCTGGCGAGCTTTTTGTCTTCCTGGTGTTCTGTTTTTTTCATCTTCTGACTATCTTTGGTTGATAGCTTGCAAGGATTTGTTTCCTGGGTTCTTAATCTCTACTTAGCAGATAGGTTTTGAGAGGATTTCTTGTTACTCTTGTAATGGCTTTTAACTCCACTGAAGTTTATTTAACTAAACAGAAAAAAAGAAACCTATCTTCTGCCTAATCCTTCTTGAATGTTTACATTATATGCCAAACTTAAATGCTGTTTAAAGTGGTAATTGTCTGCCTTTCTGCTCTATTCTAATACATTGTTTGTAAAGATACTTAAAGCATATTAATTTAAATGATAATACTGTCATATAGCATGAAAAGTTAAGTTTCTTATCAGCATATTTTGATAAGCTACTTACATGTTACAGTAGCATTTTCAGGCTTCAAACAAATGATAATGATGGAGTGCCGTTCACTTTATCTGTCTCATATATGGCTTCTCACTTCATTTATTACTAAAAGCTGTACAGTTAGGAACCACAGGGCACTCCATTCTTTATAGATGTCAGGATGTAGCCATATTTTATAAAAACTTTAAATCTTGTCTAACTCTATCAAAATAGAATCCATTTGCTTCAGAAAGCATCTGTGATTAAAAGAAGAGTCAGTGTGTGCGTCATGTCAACTTTCCTTCCCATTTGCTGCAGCTGAGGGGAAATTCCATGCTGGGATTTAAAAGGGAGCTGAAATAAAGAACTGTGCCATGAAGATGTGGTCCAAAATCAGGCCAAAGCAAAATGGTGAAAAATAACATCTTAGTTGTCTTATTTTATTGAGTGGGGATGTAAAGGAAATGAAAAAGATGGGATTTTCTGAGCGTTGTGTCTTTGTTTAATTTGATGCTTTTGTAAGTTGTTAGCAGATTTACTTCTGTTTGACCTAACTTAGCTGAGCTAAATGCAGTGATACAGGATGCAGAATAAGATTTAGTAGTTATGATGGTTTATTTGAAAAATCAGGATACTGCTTTTGTAATGTAAATAAAATAAATAAAGAAGCCTGTTGTATCTGTTTTCAAAACCAAACAGCTGTTTATGTTCAGTTTCCTGATGTTCAGCAGCTATACTGAAGACTAGTAACTAGCTGTACTTTTTGGGTAAAGATCATGATTTAAAATATTCTACTATACATGAGCACAGATAAATTTGTGTGTGGTTATTTGATGTATCTGTGTAACAGTCTGAATGTTTGTTTCATATGCGGTGAGAAGAAATTCCTGCAGACCTCTGGCATTGACTGGCCTGCTCTCAAAGCTTATTTACAGTCTGTACTCTGTTTTAAGCTAGGTGCCCATGAGTGGTTGGAAACTCTGGGAGGGAGTTATTATTGAAGCTCAGTTGCCAATGGAAGGGGATGCTTCAGCCTTCTAGCAGTGCTCTCCTTCACATGAAGTCCTTCAGTGAAGGTCCAGCGTGACTTTCCAACAGATGTTTGTAAAGTGTGTCCAGTGAAGACTGTTGTTGAGGATGCAAGTAAATATAGCCAGTGATCTTGGATTTACTAACTGAAGTTTAACAAGTTAAATGTATGCTTTTTCTTCCTTTTTTTGTTTTGTTTTGTTTTGTTTTTGTGTGTGTTTTTTTTTAGTTACCTACCATGGTTTGAAGTCTTTTATAAGCTGCTCAATGTCTTGGCAGATTATTCAGCAAAAGGACAGGTATTATTCTAAAGTACTAACCCTTCTCTTCCCTGCCCCAATATCAAACGTGGGAGAGAGACTGAAAAGCAAGCTGTTTTAAGAGATATCAGACGTGGCCATGTGAATTTATGAATCCCTATTGTGCAGTTATAGCGAAGTACTTATTCAGCTAGGCTGAAAGTTTGTCAACCACCTATGAAAAATAAATCAACTTTTCGATTGTTTTTGAGAAAAGAATACATTTAAGAATGTGACTGTGGATCCAATTCCAGTTAATGGTTTCCCTGCAGTCACTTAAACTCTTTGATGACCTGAGTCAACCACATCCATGCAGTTCCCAGATCGTGGTGCTTCATGCACCTTGGGCAGATCAATGTCTTATCAAACCTTACTTGTCATGTAAAGTAAGTGAAGAACTGAGCTTACTGATGCCAAATGCTGACCCATGTAGCTTAATCTGGGCTAGCTCTTTTGCATGCTGGTTTTGCTTTTAAAGCAAAACAACATAAATATCAGTTTTGAGATAGCGTAAGAAAGTAAACTAAGCTATTAAAATTTGATTCTAGTTTTATGAAAGATAGTTCATGATACAGAGAAATCACGATTGCAATGTCTAGCTTAGTTTCATCTATTTATTAATGTTGCAAGTATAATCTTAGGTTGCTGCTTTGATTTATTTTGCAGTAATTAGTTTGCATTTGTCAGAAACATTGATGTTTGAGGTACAGTCATGTAGGATTGTATCTTCATCTACGGGGGGCTAAATACTTTTTGTTTTAGCCTAAACTAACGAACTGTTGTAAAGGACTTGCAGTGCAAACTGGCTTGTTCCAAGCTGAGTAACTATGTACTGATATATTGGTGACTTAGTAGGCTGCAGAAGTACGTGAAAATACATATGCGGGGATAAAATAATGTTAAAAAAATTATAAAATCAGCTATTAGAGGAAACTATACTTATTACTGTGTGTAGTCTGATGTATCAAGCCATTCTAACACCTGCCTGTTCTCTAGCCCCCCCCATCACAGACATTATCTTTCTGTTTTCCAGTTAATTTGTTGTAATAATGCATACTTTGTTTTCCTTTGTTTTCTTGTTTTGTTCTTTTTTTTTTCTTTCTTATTTCAGGATAATCAAAGGAGTGAGCTTCTGGAAACATTTCATAAACTTAGCATCCCTGAGCCAAAAACCCCTGTTCAGCTTGGATTGGTAAGTGAAGAGTAAAATGAGATATAAACTGAGGTGTTTAATTTTCATTACTTGCCGTAATAGAGAAATGTCCAAAGCAGTTCTCCTTTTTGGAACTTGGCATGTAGATACTGTTTTCCTATGAGGACTCAGAGCTGTGAAATTCCCCTTTTCACATCTGAGGCCCTCTGTTTCCCTTTCCTTAACCTCACATGTCTTTGAAAGGCTGTTCTTTGATTGGAGGAGGATTGTGTGTACTCCCCATGGAAATGTCTCACCATATCGTTTGCGACCTGCTAGAGGTCACAGAGCAGCAGCATGACATTTATTGTCCACACTTCTGCAGAGCTCTTAGACCATGCGAGTGTGCAAGGGGCAAGACTGGAAAGCAGTCATGTACTGTTATAATAGTGTTCTGATTGCTACTTACTTGAATTTTCTTCCTCCTCCTTTCTCCGGGAAAAAGACTGACAAATAAGGTTTTATTTCATATGTTTTGTAAAAAACCTTATCAAAGACCACTGAAAGAATAGATGTGGGATTTTATTGAAGGGATTGTGTTTTGAAATCAGTCTTTTGGGTTGTCTGTATTCAAATTAATTTCTGTAGAACCACCTTTTGTACCAGGTTGTAGTGGAAAAGTACTAACGATGCATGTTGGTGCAGTTGCCAATTAGTCATTTGGAGTTCACATGGAAACTAGTGATATGTGCAGCCAGTTTTCTTCTCCCACTCTCTTTGCCTTTAGTCCTTCTTCTGAAGTATTTTTTGGCAACCACCAGCTTGCTCTCATCACTTCACTCTGTGATGTCTGTCGACAGGTAACAGTTGTTGGCCTTGCTCAGGTCACCAGCTGGCAGTAGAAATGCCCCAGTGCTTTTGAGGCTGGCTGTTTTATGAATGGCATTTCTCTTTGACCAAAGGAAGAGCTGTCTTGAAAGGCAGTGATCATTTGGGATATTCAGGTTTTTTTTTCATACCGGTGGTTTCAAGGAATGCTGCTGTTCTCCCCTTGCCTCAGACATTTCATGGCCAGCGAAGCAAGAAAATGTATCAAGAAGCAGAGAAAGGACTGTTTGCTAGGGTATCTTCATGCGTTTTATTTTGGCTGTTGGAAGGCTGTTTTGGGATTGGAGTGAAGCTCCTATATGTGATACAGTTGTGATACAGTTGCGTATTCTACACAACTGTTTCTTCATTACATCTTCCTAGTCAAGTAAAACAGTGGTGTATCAAAAAGCAAAGGTTGTGTTTGTAGAAATTCATTGTGTTCAGCGTAGCTGGTACACCTGCTTGCTATTTCGTACTATGGACTGTTGATGAAGCACTGAAACATATGGGATGTGTACAAGAAAACTGTGCCAATGGTGGAACTATGCCAAGGATATAAAACCCTATAAAGCTTCAGCAAATAATAAAAAGTCCTAAGATTGTAAACATGGTGAATATAATGTAAATTGTATTAACATCAATTCACAAGACAAGTTAGTTGCACACTCTTTTCCTTTCTCAGTGCTGTAACCAAGAATCATGCAAGTTGTGTGTTATCAGAATGGGAACTGGAATAAAGCTGTTTTCTTGGAATGCAGTCAATTAAAAAAAAAATTAACAATATAACGGTCTGTGAAACTGGGAAATCAGTTGTCTTTCAAATTCTTTAAGGAAGATAAAAGTGGCTAAGAACTTCAGTCATAATTTTACAGATTGGTGTAAAAACGTAGGACGTATTTCTTGGAAATTTCCATAACTTTACTTTTGTCTTTAATGAAACTCACTAAAAAGTTAGAAGAGGACCTCCTCGCCTTTGTTTTCTGGTTCACTGTGCAGCTTGCAGTGGGCTATGGAAAGCTAGTTTGAGTTATAGACTGCCTTGGATATTTCTTGGCATATGTCATACAGTGTGCAGGTCTGTCTGTGTCGGTATCTCTGCAGAATAAAGGAATGCCATCTTCCTACCTGATTACATTTCCTGTTGCATTTGGGATCTGAGATTTCAGCTTTTGAAATCTAGAACAAACAAGTCATCTTGGTGGTTGGTAACTAATGTTTTGTCCTTATTACTTGGTTGAGCAACTGCTAATATGAAGCAATAAGTTTAGAATGCTTTTGACAATATCAAAATAATCACTATCTGCTCTTCTTTTATAGCACTCTTACTTTACTGTGCCTGACATCAGAGAGCTTCCTAGTATACCTGAAAATGTGAGTATAATAGAGGACCATGCACTTTGTTTTGCTGCTAATACTAAAAAGAAAGGGTAAATAGCTAGCATTACCTCTGTTTGGCCTACTAATATATTGCATTCAGTAAAACACTGCTGGTTGTTGAAATAAAATTTAGGTGTTTAATTTATACTAAGTGGTGTGTGAGAGAGAAAACGGTGTTTCTAAGTGCAAAGGTACAGGAGTAAAAGGCCTATTGAAGTACATCTACATCATACCAGAGTGAAGTTTTTAGTATTTGCCATTCTAATTAAGCAGAGGTATCAAATGACCAAGTGAGTAGCAAATTTACAGAATAATTATCTTAAGCTGTAAGTAGAGATCATTACTCGAAAAATACAAAGCCATGTATTATTATCACTCTATTATTACAAGCTGTTAACACTCAATAATTTCTTTGTCCTAATGAGTGACAAAATTTCACATCTATAGTTTTAGCCTGCTCAAAATCAGCAAAGAACAGGGATTTGGTAACTGTCTGCATGTGAAGGCTTGGTAGCCTTTCAGAAAATTCCGGGGACCAAAGATGTTAATTTGCATGAATGATAGGACTTTACAACAAGACTATGAAGAATTCCTGGAAGTAATCCCAAGGCAGTTTTGGTTACCACTTAGAGGAGTGCTACAAATATTCTTTATGTAAAAATGCAAAATTTGAGCAGAAAGGATTTTAATCTTTCTCAGGAAATTGATTTCACCTTTATAGCTAACTTATGCTTTTAAAGAAATTTCTCACATCCAGATTCAAGTTTGTTCTCTCTGCGATGTTTCCATAGTAGTGTTGGCTTTCTAGACGTATCGGAAGCTGAAATTAAAAGCTAAATTTGGAAAGTAATTATTATTATATAGTTTTTTTGGTTTTTTTTTTTTCTCTGTTAGAGAAAGAGCATACTAGTTTCAAATAAATTTCAGTTAAAGAAAAAAGTTTTGGAACAATATGGTTTTGGTTTTGTTTTTAAATTTATTCAGGTGTCTCAAGGGTATAATCTAGGCAGTGGAAGAGTTCAGTGTTTCAAACATTTATATTGCTAGTATATAGGAAGGATCAAATACCATTTTGGTATTAAATTGGCTTGTTCTTTAAGATGTTGTGGGTATATTCAGACATTATCAGATCCTTACTTAAAATATTTGTATTAATTCAGAGGAACATCTAGGTTTGTAGACTCTTGTTTTGCTTTAAAGCTACGTTTCTAACTGTTGTTGTGCAGGGTTGTCATTCTTTCATTTGTGATAACATTTTCCTTCCATATCATATTTAGGCTATAACATTGAAGGGTTTGTCATCTATATTTGTGACTGCAAGTTGAAATTTATTGAAGTACTGATGGATAAATTGAATGGACAGGGAAAAAAAAAGGGGATCTGTCGTTCATTCAGTGAGACCTTTCTGAAAGAATGACATAGGAGACTGGGAAAATATGATCTGTTTCTTAGGTAGTTTGCTGAAAATATATACCTGGATTATTTAGGGCCACTTTTTCTGAGACTTTTTAAACCTGACAAAATTGTCTTGTATGCTTTTCAACATTGCTTAAATTTGTAACCAGATGATGGGCCTGTGGGAAGACAGTGCTAGCATTTGCTTCTCTTAGATATTCTTTAATACGCACCTGCTACATCTCTTAGCCAATTTTCAGTGTCTGACATCTCAGTTTTCTTACTTGAGTATTTTGAAGTCTGCCTTAGCATCATAAACTTAAATTTATGGCATGAAAGGAAAGAAGGGGGGGAAAAATAGAAAGAGTGAAGGAAATTATTAAGACGTTCTTTCTCATTTGTGGGTGATTTGGATAGTAGATTACACTTGGGGCTTTTTATGTCTGTTTAAAAATGTTGTTGGTAACTTTTCTGTCATAGGCTTTCCATACAGACATATATATCCTCTCAGTAAATTCAGTAGATATGGTTTTTGCTCTAAAGTGCTTTATTTTTACAGAAATATGATACTTTAGCAGTAATTCAAGAATCTGTTCCTGATTCTAAAATGGCTATCAATCTAGTGTATTTCCTGTCTTAATCCAGACATGATTATTTGTTTATAGGATTGATATTTCATGTTAATCTCTTTTATGCTGATCATCTCAAACTTTAATAATTTTTATTTGCTAAGCCTCAAATCTCCTGGAGAGCGTGAAGTGAAGTTCATTTCCATTTTACAGGCTGGTAAATTAAAAGGCAGGAAAAATGAGCAGTAAGAAACTAGTGACAGGATTAAATGTAGGTCTTCTGGCTTGGACCTGCTTTAACTGATGTAGAGCAGTTTAACACATGCACTACAGCTATACTTTCTGAAGCCTTTACTAAGTGTTTATGCTCTGTTCGTTATGTCTGCTGGTCGTGTTCACTTTATATTCAAAGGTATGAGTCAGCTTCCCAAAACATTTGAGCAGGAGATGTGATGAATGCTCATGAATCAAAGGCAGTTATAAAAGGAGAGGCCTTGGGCCAGAAGGAGTTGGAAGCCCTTTGAAAGCTGAATGTTCAGCCTTCATGGAAAGGAGTGCTGTGTGATGCTAAAAAGCATCCTCTTTGAATCATTGAGTGGTGCTGATGTGCCTCTGAGGGAATGTGGCTGTTTTGCTGTAGGTATCCTGGGCACTGATGTCACTGTGAAGGATGGGCTCTGCACAGTGTCTGGGGTGAACCAGGGCACCTCTGGGAATAGAGGTGGAAGAGCATTTTGTTCATTAACACGTGTGCACGCATGCATGCACACCCATTAAAACAGATAGGGCTCATTTTATGAAAGAAAAATGTTAAAATTCAGATCCATCAGTCTAACTCTTGTTGCAGTTGACCACTTAATATTTCTTTTGTGTGTTTTTCTTTTTTCTATTAAGTATCATGTAATTCATTATGAGAATTTTATCTATCAGTACAGCTTTCATGTAGAATTGCAGCATATTCGGCAGTAGTACAAGGACATTAAATGAGCATGAATCTCCATTCATCATTGGACTGCTTTATTCAAAATCCTACTTATCTTATTGATAATTACATTTTAAAGCTCCTATTAGCAAAAGTTTTAGTAGTACCAAACTTTGAAGTCATATGTAATGATTAATGGAGTACTGCACAGGACCGTTTGGAATGTTAACATACTTGTTGCAGTTATCTGACTGTATCACACCAGTGTGTTTGATGAACCACAAAGCATTTAGCATGGACACTTTGGTGTAAACATTAACTCTTAATTTTTTTACAGTTTGTAAATACACTGTAACTTCAGAGAGAAATTGAATGAATTGCAGGAAATATAGTGCAAGTCTTTAAATTTCCTAGTAATAACTGTTTTATTTTGGAAATTCTTACTGCTACATCTCTTATCTCAGTGCCTATTTTTTAACTTGTCATACTGTACATCTTCCACTGTCTGTTTTTCTTATTATTCCCCTTCACTTTTTATTTCTACACTTACACTGTTTTCTGGAGTGTCTTGTCTTTGTTATTCTGCTCTCTGGAGTAGCTGCACGGCATTACTAAAGTATCTTAACTGCATAACAAGTGACCTCACTCATGTTAGACTTTGAATTTGTGATATTACAAAGAAAATAAACGTATCTAGAAGATGAGGGATTTCCAGTAGGAGAATGGAGAAGGAAACTTGTTTTCTCCTATTGATCTGTCCAAATAAAAAACATTTACAGAAATTCTGTAAATGCCTTTCAGCAGCAGCGTAAAATGCTGAATGCATTGATAATGCATGTTTTTAATATGCTTGAGCTTCGCTCTTTCTTTGCAGAGGAGAGAGCCCTTTTTTTACCTTTAGTGAAAAGTTCTTCATTAGATGACAGAGAAAGAAAGGACTATTCTGGACCTTGAGAGTCAATGTGCACGTCCATTTACTGGTACTAAGTAGCAAATGATCAAAGAGATGATTGTTCTTCAGATGAACTTTCAAAGAAACGTAAAGGAATTTTGTAGCCATTTCTACTGAATTTTGAGGAGTGGTGATAACAGATCCTATATTCTGTTATGAAAATCCCACTCTTTTCTTCTTCGCAAGGTTTAAATCCTAGGAAACAAAGTACGCAACAATTATACTGCAAATTGGAACGCTTTCATTTGTATTTATTTAACTCATTCATGGTTTTGTCACTTATGAGACATGTCTTTCAAAATACATGTGTAAGTCCCAATTTTATCTTCAAAGATGACAGCTTTCTTATAAATACAACTTAGAGCTAACACGTGAATTTCCCTAGTATCAATACATTACCATGCAGCCCACATGCTCTGCAGGTGCTGTTGGCAAATTGCTGAGCACAGAGAAGACTAAAGCCTTGTAAATCTTTCCATCTGAAAGCACGTTTCAAGTGTCAAAGCCACTATTACACTACAGTAAACTTGAAAGAATAATTACAAACCCATTCTCTGTGTCTGTTTTCCCTCTCGCTAGTCGATACTTTTGCCTTACAAACGTATACATGCATGTTCGTATCTACCTACGTCTTCAGGCAGAATGTAGGAATTTACTTTTCCTTTTGCCACAGCCTTCATTTGGGTGGCTGCTAAAGAAGTTCAGTGAGTTGCTGGAGAACTCTTTGAATTCACACTATTTGCAGTAATTGTGTCGTCATGCGTTGTGTTTTGGTGTCGTGGAAAGATGGGTGAGAGGCGGAAGAAGAAATGTAGAGAAGACAGCTTATGTTTAGACAAAAATATCATGCTAATCAGCACAGATGGGATGAGAAATACAGAAAAAGTACATGATAGTTTAATAGGTTTTTGGCAAAATGTGTTGGCTGGTTGTTTTTTTTCGGTTGTTTTTTTTTTTTTTTCCTTCTCCTTGTGACTGTACCTATCTGCTGCAATAGCTCTTCTATAACAAGACCTGAATGGCTGTTTTATGTTAACATGTTTGAAGCTAACTCTAATGAGCTTAGTTTTTACCAATGTAGATGTGGGTACAAAAATCTTCCAAATACAAGGCTTAATTTTTCTTCAGTTCTTTGTGTTTGGATGGCAAGCTGTGGAACATATTTCTGCACAGTATGAAACATCTTGGCAGACTTCTCAGGCCAAGTATTGGTGGGTTTAGAGTTATCTTTGGATCTGTCAAAAGTGCTAATGGGCTTTGTTGAGCTTCTTTAAGTTTCTAAATCATATTTGCTTTTTGCTTTTCTGTGCTTTTTTATTTAAGGATGATTAAGATTGCACTTGAATTCATGACTAATCCAATTTTGCTCTCACATGTGCTTTTTGTACAAGTCTGCCTTTATTGTGTAGCAACCCTTTCGTGCCCAGAAGAAGCGATTTGGGAACAAATTACCTAGATCAGCACTTTTGTGTGTATTAACATTTCCACTTCTGCAGCTTTTTTAATTTCCCTGATTTAAGAAAAGAAAATACCTTTTGTGAACAAAAGACCTTTTTCTTTTTTTTTTCTTTTTTTTTTCATTTTTTTTTTCTTTTTTTTTTTTAGCTGGCCTCATATACTATGCAGCAAAAGCTTTTATTCTGGGAGAACAGCATATATTTTGATGATGTTATCTACCTGATAGCTTTCTAATCTTGTTGGTAAAAAATGTTAGGATTGCGTTTGTAAGTTTTAATTCTACTGCTTATTAGAATAATCTTAATTCCTTAGTAAATAATACATCGTTCACGCCACTGCAGCATGTGCACCAAGCTGTTACACTGGTAATGATGCATGGGTGTTGTTCCTGGCTGATGGGATAGTGTGTGGATGAAACTTGCTTTCTTCTGTTGGTTTTTTTGCTTGCGTTTTTTTGAACCACTGTTGCTCGGGTGGTGTATGTGTACATCTTCAGCAGCATTACCTGCTCGTGTCTTGGTCTTCCTGTCTATGCTTTAGAGGCAGTTTGCAAATGAACTATGTTTTTTTTTATTTTTGTGGTGCAGTTATTTTTCTACTGTATAAATGTATCGATTAGTCAGGTAAACTTGTTTCTTCAACTGTAGAGAGTACAAAGAGATCAGATGACCTGTGTGACTGCTCTTGCCTTGTGCTAAATGCCCATGTGAATTTCCAATGATAAGAATTACTTTAGTATAGAATAGTATTATTAGTATAGAATGGATTTACCCTTTTTTTCCTTAAAAAACTTGAATTTGTTTCAGTAAAAGTGTCATATTAGAATATGATTTTTGTGCTTCGTCAGGCAGCATTGACATTTTTTGTAGAAGTGACAGAACATGTTTTCTTTCACCAAGAATTATCTTGTGTTTTAGAACTGTGTATGAAGCATCCTCAATTTCATTAATCCATGACCTGTCTCCCCAAAAGTCAGGGGAAAGATACTGCTAATTAAAAGCTGGTCTGACACAAGGTGACCTACTGTGTGTAGCTGTGTAGTCTACGTAGCATAACAAGAGGATGGAGTCTGTTGTGGGTTTTTTTGTTGTTGTTTTTAAATGGAAGACTTTGTTTTGTAATATCATGAATCAAAATTATTTTATCTCTTTTCCTAGAGAAATCTGACAGAGTATTTTGTAGCAGTTGATGTCAATAACATGCTGCATCTCTATGCCAGTATGCTGTATGAACGCCGCATCCTCATTTGTTGTAGTAAGCTCAGCACTGTAAGTAAACTGCAGAATAATTTCTCTTATTCACACTACTGTTTTTTTAATGACAGTCATACATAAGCAATATGCTGAAATATCTAGAATGTGAAGAACAGTGTTTGAAAGTCCCTACTGAAAACATACTTTTGAAAGTTGTTCTTCCCATACGAGGGAATATCCAGAAACTTGTGCAAAGTTTTCTTCTTGTTGAAGTACACAGTAAGCAGAGATGAAGCCCTGCTTTATATTTAAGTATAACTGCCATCATTAATTTCTGTGTAATTATGTTGATTGGCATGGAGTTTTTCTGGAGTTCTAGAAAAAGAAGTGTACATTGATGTGCCACTAACCATTCAGATTACTTGAGTTTATTTCCTGAAGAAATATCTGTATATATTTTTTAATTCACAAAGGCATTAAGTACATCACTGTAGTTGGCCTGCAAAAAGGGACCAGAGATGCGATGGAGTCTCTGTCCTTGGAGGTATTTTAAACTGAACAGTGCCCTGAGCAAACAGCTGCAGTTGATATTTTGAACAGTTGAGGTCAGATTTGATGACCTCCAGGGCCCCTTCCAGCCTTAGCCATGCAACCTAAACTCAGTTCTGTGGTTCTAAGTGATGACTTTATCCAACTTCTTTTCCCCTCTAACATTCAAATTAAAGTTTTTTGAGACATGCTTTGTTGGGCATTTTGGTGTGTAAGCATACTAATGTTCATGCCGTAGAGAAGTCTGCTTTTCATAATTTATTTGGCAGAAAAAGAGACTGATAAATAATACTGTCATATACCTTCTCTGGATGGACTCAAGAATTGGACTAAAATAAGACAATCCACTTTTTTTTTTTTTTTTTTAATTTTGTTTTAAAAGGTTTAGTCTTAATGCTGTTTAGGCTCCATCAAGGATCTGAGAGATAAAAGGTACTGAACACTCTGGAGTGCTCTTTTCTAAAAATGACTGCACATCAAAACCAAACATGAGCTTGATTTAGTTCAAAGTTTTGTGTTAGGCATTTGAAGGTTTATCAGTCAATATTATTGTGATTTTTCTTTCTAAAAGAAAATGTTAAGTTTTCATTTTGTTTGCTCTGTAAATGGATATTGATTGTTTTCCTTTATGAATGGTATGCATAAGATGGTTTTAAAAAATGCTGCTTTCTTGTTCTATGGCCTAAGTACTCAAACGATCCCTTCTAAAATACAATGCTCCATGTCCATTTGATGAAGTATTACCTAGCCTGTTACTGCTTGACCATGACCTGCTTTGTGATTGAGGTTAAAACTACTTCATGGAATTGTAAATACTACGTGAAAGGCAGAAGTTACAGGATGTAAGATACAAGGCAGAAAAGGGAAAGAGTAGATTACAATAGTTATTCTCATGTTCTTTGGTAAGGTAAGTAAATCTAGGAGAGTTAGAGTAATCTCTGGAAAGTATTAATAATTATTAAATATTTACAGTCAATCCTATATGTAACTGATAGAATTGGAGTGTTATGTAGCTCAGTATCATAGAGAGCTTGTAAAATCTTAATTTGATATCTGCCAAGCGTTCTAGGTCCTCTCTAGTAAATAAAAATTTAAAGAGGTGATTGTTTTATAAAACTAAGGAATGAAGAGAGTAGGGAATTAACAAAGAGGAAAGAATGGCTATCCAAAGCATTTCAAAATGTGTGGTTGGTTGGTTTAATCTCTCTCTCTTTGTGACAGAGCCTGGGAAGAAGAATTACTTACCTGTCACTTTGCCTTCCTTAATGAGCCATTTCACAAGTAGGGTTGTGTTTTCTTTCCTATCTTCTGCTTTTCCTCTTCCTTTTGCCTCTGTCCAAGATAAAAGCATGTCTCGTTCTTTGGTAGGGAGGGGTATTCATACTGCGCATTCTTATCTTACAACTTTATATATAACTGCTCCAAGATTGGAGTGACAGCGTAAGACAGGTTTGAAGTGTTGGGCCGGAGCCAGTGATTCCTTGCCTGCACGCTCTGCTCTGCATGTTCCAGCAGTAGGAACAAGCTGCATTATTTTATTTCAAACTGTGCTCAGCGGAAGCCAAGACCTTGTAACTGGAAACGTACCAAACTGAGAATTCTCAAAGTAGAGGGAGGGTGGTGTGGTGGTGGAGAGGGGATTGGTTTCTTGGTTGGTTTTTGTTTTTGTTTTTTTGTGTGTGTTGTTTGTTTGTTTCCTTTTTTTAAACAAAAAAGTAGAGGGATCCTATGTGCACTTGATTCTTTCCATTGTGAGAGAGGCAGCACACTTCATTCTTAAAGCTTAAATATAATATCAAGTAAAAGAGTGAAAAATAAGCAGTCTTGAGTAGAAAAGTCTTTTATGATAGAATGAATTCATGTAAATCATGTAAAATTTGAAATATCCTTAATAGTAATTAGAGGTAAGTGGGTCTGTATTTATTAGCTAGTTTATAAACAATATGTACTGAAGCTGGAAGATTCTTTTCTGGTCTCTTCAATTTTTTCTCTTTTGTTTTCTACAAAAGGAAATTCAAGTAATTTTTCAAAACATTAATTACTTTTTCTTAAAAACAACAACAACAAAAAACACTCAGTGATCTAACTACTCATACAAAGCCAAATGTGAATCAGAACACATAAAAACTGTTTGACAGAAGAGCACCTACTGATGGGAGCATGCAGTTACAAAAATGAGACAAGCTTTCCTATAGCCCACTGTTCTGTCTTCCATCATCCCTTCCCTTGCAGCTCTGCCTCAGGAAGGAACGTTAACAGTGTGTAATGACAACAGGTTGTCTTTCATCATAAAAAGACGGCTTACATGAAACTAGATGAGTCTGAAAAAACTTAAATTTGTGAAATATGATCATATTTCTGTTTGGCTCCATCTTACTGGAGTGAATTTCGTTACTTACAAAGCAATATTAAAATGGTGTATTATTACAAAGCAAAAAATACCATTCTGGTCTTTTGTTCTTGAAGGCTTAGAGGCTGCCATTTCACTTCTCCTGTGTCACAGAATGTTCTAATACACAGCCTCTTCTTCCCTGAGAGGTTTCTGACATGTCTCAGGGCTCTAAGGTTAAGGAAAACACAACATGTGATCAATAAGATTCACTAAATGGCCTTGTGATACAACATAGCTGAGCTTGCGCTGTTCTTGTTCTACAGCAGTCTTACAACTACTCTTCTTCATGTGTGAATTCTTCCTTCCCAAGAGCTCTGTTGCAGCCCTTACAGCCTGCTACCAACATAGGTTTTCACCTCCATACACAGTCTTTCCAGCAGCCCTATTTTCACTGCTTAATTCTCGTACAACTCAGTCTTCATGTTTCTGCTGTGCTTTTAGCCCTGAGTGATGCAGAAAGATGATCTTACACTCAAATGTTGGTGATTTTTTAAATATTATGTTTGTAGGGCTGTCCTGCATGTGTAACACTAGGCACTGTTTGTCCATAATAGGAAGAGAGTAAAATATACTGGAAAATGGCCTATATAATTCAACATATTTCATAATTTTTATATGTATGTTCATAATTTTTATATGTATGAAAAAACTCCATTGATTAATTTGCTTTTAAAACCTTAAAGGTAAAATTGCAGAATGTGGTTCACTAACTCCATGTCTTTTGTACATAGCTATTTTTTTATGTTCTCCAGCAACAGCTGCAGGAAGCTGAGGTAGTGGAACTAATCTTATTTTAAAATGCTGGATTCCTATAGTTTTGACAGTTGGGCATTTCTCAGGCTGCCTTATTATTAAGCTCCTGTTTTCTGTATGGCAATCACTAATCAGGTGAGGTCTCCAGCAAATATGCTATTTTTTTTTTATGAGTCCTTATCTTGGCAGAGTTGAAGGACAGTAGCAGTGCTTACTTGAGGTAGTGTGTTATTTGAATTCATGCCAGATAGCAAGGTGGGAGTACATCTCAAAAATAAGTGACAGGTTCTGCTCAGATGTCTGCAGTGTTGAGCATTATGTCTGTTTAATCTTTTCTTGCTGAGTTTTAAAACCAATGGAAGGGGGATTTGGAAGGGGCCTTCTTGGATTACTGAGTTCAGTCCTCTCCAGCATCAACCAGACTATGGAATAATACCAGGAAATAATCCATTTAAACCTGATGGAATCAATTCTTATGTAAAAAATTACATTTTTAAGCAGTTTTGGTTTTAGACGTCTTTTTGATTTGGAGAAGAGAAACTGAAAGCATGTAGAATTGAGTCACATAATTTCCTGCAAAGCACTACAGGGGTTCTCCCCAGGGCTGGCCTAGCACTTTTGTTTGCTATTTTTGAGCTTTTTCATTCAGTACCTGCCAATGTCAAAACCGTTCTGAATGAGTTTTTAAAAATCATTGGATCAAACGATTGGTGAAGGGTAATAAGATGAAGATACTTTTTAAGTAATAAAAATATAGTCATTGAGTTCAGTGTGGTATGTTCTTAAGAAAACTATGCTACTGATATTGTACCTTCCCGAGCTTAAATATTTTTCGGCTTGTTTTATAATTTCAGTGCATTTTTATTGTATTAATGGATAGTAATTGCCAGGATTAGGGTTTTATTTACCCTTACCATCTTTTTCTTTCCTTTGAGTTTTTATTTCCGTATTTCTTTTGCTTTATAAAACACTGGGTGTTCCTTTCAGGTTTTGTTTATTGAATGAATTGTGTTTTCAGCTATTTAACAAGGTCAGTCAATGTTAACCACCAAAAACTAGTTGTGCTTTATCCACTGGTACCCTTTTTTAATGGGAACACTGAGTATTGTCTAATAAAGCATGTTATAAAACCAAATTTGATTCTTTACTTTTTTCCTTACATCATTAGCTTTTAAGGTTTTTTGTTTGTTTGTTTGTTTGTTTGTTTTTTGTCTTATTAATGTTCTTCCATTAATCTGTGTTTTTCAGTTAACTGCTTGCATTCATGGATCTGCAGCTATGCTCTACCCAATGTTCTGGCAACACGTTTACATTCCTGTTCTGCCCCCACATCTCTTGGACTACTGTTGGTAAGGCTATATATATATGATATATATATATGTGTGTGTGTGTGTGTGTGTGTGTGTGTGTGTATAAAATCTAGATTCACAACAGCATTCACATTTCTGCATTGCAAGTCTGAAGTCCTCTTATATGATGATACTGTTAGTCTAAAAATACATATGTATATTAAGGAAGTGGTGAACCTACTAAGTAAAAAAAAAATATTAATGCTATCAGATAATTGTGTATTAGTATGTTGCAGTACACTGATGTGACTGGTTACTGTGAAATGCTACAACTTAAATATTTTATACTTGTAATTTGTTTTCAGCATATTTATGTTAAATCATAAAATTTGCATTAAGACCCTGGAAGCAAAAATGGAGAACATACTTTAGTTTTTCAACTTTTCCTGAATTACTCTGGGGGATGGGGAGAAAGATATTCATTTCCTTATAATCAACTTTTTATATTCTCATTGTGTACTTAGAACGTATTTACCTTAGTTAGGGAAATGGCTGTAATTCATTTGAAAGCATATTCTTGCTCATGATATTTCAGATTTTGGCACATCCCAAGAGCAATACGAAATATTGTCAAAGCTGCCCTGTTTTGTCCTGAGCTTGGGGCAGCTGCCCTCCTGAGATTCTTTCCAACAAAAATTGTTCTGTGATTCCATACTGTCTGTATGGCTTAAGAAACCTTCTTTGTAGCTGACATCTCCAGATAAGTGTGTCATTAGGTATTTGTTGGAATTGGTGGTCAGTGGTTCAGAATCCTATCTACAGCACCTCTCAGTCTCTTGGTTTTTAATTTCTTTTCTGGCACAGAGTCAAACAGTTTAGTCTAATCAGCCATAATGTAATATCTCCCATGTGCTGCATATGGGACCGGAGGAAGAGAATTCTGAGTAATTAGCAAAGGAGTTTAAGATACTGCAGCATTTAGTTGCTTGGCTGTTAGTCACTCAGTTTGTGTGACTTGCTGTTTTTGTTCCCACTGTGTATGCAGCAGCAAATGAAGTTTGCTCAGGAAGAGTGGCTGCCCCCTTACCTCAGGTGGCCCAGGGAACTTAAAATTTCAAGCTCTGCTAGAGAGTTAAAGGAATAGTTTCCTAGGCGTGCAGAGATGGAATTAGGAAGTCCAAAGTTTGGCTTGAGTTGAAGTGAGGAATGTGTAGGGTATCTAGAGGCTTCTATGCTTCTAGAACCAAAAGGAAAACACTAAGGAAAATGTAAGCCTGATGGTGTATGGTCACACCACTGGGTGATGGAGACCATTTGCAAATTCATGGGAGAGGAAGGATTTGACCAGAGAGTGCTGCTGATCCTGGAAGTTGTAAGGCTGTGCTTCACCATGCGTGAAACGAATTGGCAGTGAGGGGTGTCCTCAGAGAAGTGAGACACGTCCTTAGAAAAAGCAAGAGGGAAGGTCCAGGGAAGGAACTACAAGCCAGTCAGCTCTGCTCCTATTCTTGAAATAAGTATGGAACAAGTCTTCATGAAAGCACCACCTCTGCCCTCTCTCACCACATGTCCTGGCAGTTTAAAAAGTCCTCTGAAAAAAAATGAGCTGAAAGTGACTGTGTCATACTATTTCACATTTGGCTCTTAGTATTGTGATCTGGGGGAGGGTATTCTGTTGGTTTTTTTTATGAGTGATCCTGTTCTGTGTGACGTTTTCTCTGCATTTAAGCAAGAGGAAAAAGCTAGCAGGGATAGCTAGCATTTTTAAGTGCCAGAAGCTGAAACATGTAGATTTAAAGGAAGCTTGCTCCTCTGTAGAATATTTAAATGTTAAGTATGTGCCTATTGCAAAGATACACAGAATGGAATCTAAAAACTATTATCTCCTGTAGAAATGAACCTTCAATTTACTCACTGCACAGGAAGGGCAGGTTCTAGTCATTTGCACTGCCAGCAGGTGCCCTTTCTCTGCATAATGGGCTTTGCATGTGTAATTAACACATGAAGGCTGCTGCTGCCAGTTTTTTCTTCAGGTACATGCTGCTAGGAGTTTTCAGGATGAGGATGTGGACCACAAGAGGCTTTTTTGCTGGGTTTGAAGATGAGATATTCATTGACTTTCTGACAAAGCCGTGTTAAAAAGGGGCTGAGTCCAGATCCCACAGCTTTGTACAGAGGTGTGCAAAAGCAAACACTTGGGCAGTGTACCCAGAGATAAAGACATGAGACATTGACCTCTACTTGAATTAATTCTTTCATGGTGTAACACCCTGCCATGTGACAAATAAGCCAGCCAGTGTGTAAAAAGTATGATTTTAAAACATATTATTATTAGGTTGTAATTGCATGCTCACAAATACAACAGATTGCCTTAGCCTGATATGAACTTCATTTGGAGAGGTAGTCACACACACAAATTGTTTGAGTAATTAGGTTTAATAACAATTTGTGTGCCATAATGATATTTCTTAAAATAGAGTCCATTCATTTTGTAACTATGTGAAATTAGAAAGGTAATTTTTGCCTATCTGTTCTAAGAAATCAGCTTCACTCTGTCTGGCTTAAGGCAGTCAGATGCTTATAAGAATCTGTCTCTACAGGAAAATGACCTGAAACTATTTAAAAACACAAGAGTTTATTTTAATTTAATTACTGTCTTGTTATTTTTTTCACAAATGTAATGTAAGAATTTTGAAGAGCTAAAAGGGAAACTAAGAAAATTTAAAGTGATGTGAATTTTTCTATTCTTATAAATGCAGCAAATGGCATTCCTTCAGTTCACTTGTTTGCTGTCCTTTGGTGTATTCTGACTGTGCTGTTGGTGCTTCTGAATCTTCTTCTGAACTTTGTGAAAATTGCTGAAGGATGTAAGATTGCTATATTACTTGTTATCTTTGAAAGTCTTGGAAAAAGTATATTCCATATATGATTATTTGCTTTTAATCAGTTGAGCTCCAGTGGAGTCTTTTTGTGGAAAGGAAACTTTTAATGTCCTGACTGATATACTCCATCTCAGTTCCATGTTTGTGAAATTTGAAATCTGTTGCATTTCCCTGGGGCAATACACGTGATGACTACTAAATCTTTCCAGATCAACAAAAAAGTAAAGCAGCTCTGCTTCCAGAGACTGGAAAGGTAGAATACTTTAACTCTCCTCATGGCATTTGAAGATTCTTTTATACGAGAAACTTCAGAGCGGGGAGAGTTCCCTTGAGCTGTTGTGAGAAAGATGATGAAGGAAAAGGTGGATAATTGGATATTGTTACGTGTTAATGATAACTCTGCTGCAAGCATGCTTATAGTGAATGTCTCACTGACATGGTTAAAGCTCTTTTTTTTTCCTGTAGCATTATGTCCTTTACCTTTGTTTATACATCACATACTTTCAAACCACTGTGGTTTCTGATTTTTGCAGCTTGACCTTTGCTAATTTTTTTTAGCCTATGATGGAGACAGAGATCAATTTTCTTCACACTTCCCTCTCAAAAGGATTTTTTAAAAAATGAATGTTTATTTTCGGTTGCACTCTTTATTCATGTACCTGACAGAACTGAAAAGGCCCAAACCCTATCTTCAAAATGTTTGTGCTCACCATGCTTGCTCTTTGTGCTAGGAATGCAGAGCCAGTAACAGTGGCTCATGTTCGTGTTGAAATGATTTCAGTCATCTGATTCCTAGTGCATTGAGGGGCGGCTCTTTTTTTTTTTTTTTTTTTTTCTAATTAGGAACCGCTCGTCAATGTATTTTCAGCCCAGGGAAAGATTTTGGTGGAGGAGACAGAAAATTGGTGGGAATTCTATCATTAAAGTTCACACCTTAATGCACAATTGCATCCTCCTTTGAATAGAGAACAACAGAGGAGGCACATGAACTGTTGCTGTAGGAGGTGGGACTGCATGCCAGCAGGTGCCAAATGCACTGGTTAATGGGCTCCTGCTACCAAGCATCAGTAACCAAGCACGTGCAGATACTTACATTTGGCCAGATCTATCTATTTTGTTGCTGAGAGTTTAAATATTTCTTGATGTGAAACAGTCTATTAATTTTCCTCACTGCTTGTTTCAGTTTGGTTTTCACGTGGCATAAAAACATTCCCACTGTGTCTGTTTTCTTTCTTTTTGCTCTCATTGTTTGTGTTTAAAGTTAGCCTATAAGAAAACACTGTCGTTACTAGGCTGCTGTGACACAGCCTAGCATGTTCTCTCAGTCCAGAACTTTATCACTGGTTATTATGTGTGCTTCGACCAGAAGCAGCAGAAAATTTTCTAAGGTGATTTAAAGCACCTTTTATATTAGATAGATCTGTTAGCAGCCAACATAGTTCATTCAGAGAGCCCTTTGCAGAGCACCCTGACGCAGGGGCTGCACAAATGTTGCTACTGGTGCAGTTTTCCCTTTCCCCTGGAGTTTTTGTTAGTTTATATGTTTTTTTAAGCTTCCTTTCTCTCGTTTTCTAAATCTCATTGCTCAGTGTGCACCTTTACAAAGGTGGAGGGGGTAACCAAGGGGCACATCCTCCTGCTGCTTGGGAAACAAAGGTTCTTTCCTCGTGAGCCTCTGAGTAGCTTTTGGTGCAACCTGCTTCATCTGTGTACTCACTGGAAGCTGTTGCAGTTGTTCTTCTGCTTTCTTACTGTGCCGCCTCTACATCACTTCAAGTTATGCAGTCAGGTTTGTAATTTGCATCAGTTACCCTGATAAATTTGGGATTGAATTCTTTTACATCTCAGTTAAGTAAATTGAAATCAGGAGACTGCTTAATGCATAAAATGCAGGTGGTGTATGAGCAACACATTAAGTCAGAGTTTGTGTCAGGACTTGAACGTAGTAAATGTGATCTACTCAATTTTCCTGGAACTATGGAGCAAATTGGTGCAAATCCCTGTGTAGCTATAAATTATGAACTTTCTTTGAGATCTGTAGGTTTTACATTATGTCTTCTGGTGAATTGCAGGCTTGTTTGTTTCTTTCTTTTAAGATGAACTTTTTTGTTGGTTTTATTTGTTGCTGTTGTTGTTTTTCACTTAAGAGAAAGTGTCCCTCTATTTCACCTGATTCTCTTCCAATTAGTTGTTCCCCACCTCTTGGGAGCATAATTAAGAGGTCTCTAGTTAGCCTAAGGAAACGAATTAGAGAAATTGTAAAATGCAACTGTAATAAATGGGCAATATCTTGCCATTAAGTCCATAGTATCCATATTCATGCTTATGCATTGCTTCTTTAATGATTTGGTATTTACCTATATAACTCACTTGATTGTAAATAACCCTGCATTGGGAACTGCTGTGGCAGGAGAGGAGTAATAGCCTCAGTCTTTGTTCCAAAAGGCTTAGGCAGGCTTTTTGTTTAAGCAGTGAATGTGCACAGCAGAAATTGATACTTCTTATTTTGCACTTAATGGCTATTGCCTGCCATCAAACAACTTTGAGTAATTGCGAGTTGTGGCTGTAGGCAGCGCCAGGACTTGTCGAGCAGTGTGTAAAACTGGTCCGTAGGTCAGTCTTTAATCTGTCATGGGTCTCAGAAGGATTAGATTGCACAAAGTGTTTCTCCTGTTTATACAAGCAATGGATGTTACTGAAGCTGACTGGGAAGTTTTGGAAATGCACATGGAACCTGGTAAAAATGGCTTGAGACCTGAATGGCAGTGGGGAAGGACTGCTGTAGTGTGGTCTGGATGGTGAGAAGTGCACAGTCTTCTCTAGTGCAGCATGGTAGCTGAGTAAGTAATGGCATACGATGAAGCCTGATGTGAATCTTCAACATTCATGTCAGGTGTATTTCTTTCTCAGTCATGATGAGTGATGACAGAAGAATGTAATCTCTTTGAAATAATTATATGCTCTTTACCAGAATTACATTTTATTGTGGTTATTTATGTTTGCTTAGTTAATCTTTTGCAAGTATAAGGAGCTATCAGAGTGAATTATCCTTAAAATGTTTTTGCTGTTTCTTTGTGGTTTATATAACATGGAACAATACTTTTTTTTTTTCCCTCAAAGGTAAAGTTACTCAATATCATCTTCTGAGCTCTGCCTCATTCCCTAGCTGAAATCTCTGCAACTATTCACAAAGATAACACAAACGTTGCAAAATTAGTGCATTTTTAAACAAATTTCTGCTTTGAAGTTTCCTTTTTCTTATTGATTCAGAACCTTTCTTATGAATGAGTGAGCTAAATCCACTCTTCATAGTGTTACAGTATCAACTTGTCCTGCTGCTTTCTCCAGCCAGTCCAAGTGCAGCACATGAGACACCTGACTGCGTCCTTTAAAGCACAGCAATGCAAGATCACAGGAAAAAAACAGCTTTCAAAACCTGTCAAAAGTTAGAGTATTGTGGCCTTCATACCATCCCTGTAATAGCTTTACATGCTGTACTGCCTTTACTTTGATGACTTTCACTAGAAAATTGAAAAGGCAATTCATTGCATCCAAAGGTGACCGTTGTGTGTTAAGGCATATCCTTCTGTCAGTTCCTAAAATTTTACTGGGAGTGCAAGGTTTTAAGGGTTTCGGCATTTTTATTCTTTTGTTGGTGAACTGGGCCATTGAAGGATGGACGTGATACAGTTAATCAACTTTTACAGATTCAGATTTTCTTATGCTTGGTGACAGGCTCTGCTTTTGGATGCATTAATAAAGTGGCTGGTTTTCTGGAATACTGCACTCTTCCTGCTTCCTTTCATTACGTTAGCCAAGGTTCTACTAGATGAGACGTTTGCAGTCTTACGACTTCCTGCCGAGGTTCAGACTTTGTATTTTTGAGATTGAAGCTGTCGTGTTTCTGAAACTACTTAATTAGAAACACATTCATTTCACTGCGTACTGGAGGAGCATTGAACAGCATAGCAAGGCACACGGGGAAGTTGAGCATTTGTGCAGCTGGCAGCTAAACCAATGGTTTATACTTTGAATGTGAAATTACTGGGTATTTTCTTGCTCCTGGAATGTGGCCATTGGAAATGAAGAGATGTGGGTGAAAGAGAGAGTGTTTGTCACAAATAAAACATGCAAAATGACAAATAAATACTCCTCAGATGAGCAGCAATCCATATGCACTAAGTGTGTATCATGTTGAATGGTAAAAAATTGTAACACATATCCAAGAACTTGGATGTATGTTTTGGTTCTCATCTGTGGAATCCCCAAGGAAGCAGAGGCTTTGGGACTTGTACCAAGTTAGTTCCTGAGTTAACAGTGCTTGTGGGCTGTGACAGGGTGCTGTGTTGGGTGAAACTTGGGTAAGAGTGTTCGTGCCAGGCCGTGCAGTTCAGTGAGCCTCTTCAGAACTTGTTGGATTCTTTGAAGTTATTTATGCTATATATGTTCGCCTTCAAACAAGAATAAAAGAACAAACCAGTGTTTCCATGCAGAGCATGTAGTATAGAGGCTGTTTACATCTCTTGGTGCAGAATCCAACAAAGTAGCAGTTTTCAAGGTACAGTGGTAAACATGATAATTATTAATATGCATACCAGAAATTTTGTCACTTTAAAAAAAATGAGGAGCAGAGTGATTTTTGCTGGTGTGCAGCAGTAGTTCTTTCAGCACTACTTTCTTCCCTTGCAGAGCAGTAGGCACCCGTCTATAAAAGCAGTATGGAAGATATTTAAAACAAGGCAGAACAGTGACATTTCTCTTCTTTCTCATCTGAAATTGAAAACGAGCTCTTTAAGCTTCTGTATCCAAAATCAAATGAGGCTCTATTTTAAAAGTTGTGTCTGTCTGTGCTTTCAGTTTAACAGGCAGTGTATGCCATATTTGCAACTAGCAGTTTTGGCATCCTCTTTGATATGTTCTAATAAGCAATGCAAATATGAGCTTTTCCTGATTAACTGAGTGGGAGTCCTGTAGTAAAGCTTAATATTAGAAATACTGTATATACAAAGATCCAGCTTTCATTCAGTATTCTTCCTTGTCACATAGTAGCCCATATTGCTGTTTGCTAACATGGTTGAACAGAAGACTGAAAAGATCAGTCTTTCTTAACTTTCTGTTTGATAACAGAAGTGTCACACCTTTGTTTCAAGCTATAAATCTGGCCAAAGAACCTCTCGATATGGTTTGTTATTGTATCCTGAAATAATGATTCCAGCATAGGCCATGGTAATTATGGAGTGGATCAGAATCTTCTGAAGTAATCTTTACATCCTTGTTTTATAAATGTAAATATTTCAAGATTTATACTTAGTTGAATTATTTAAAATGTGTCTGAACCCATAATCAAAGGGTTTAAAATTTACACGACTGTGTGATATGCATTCACTGAGCTAACTATTTAATTCTACAACTAAATCAGTCTGCTGAAAGAATATAGAATTATTCGAAAATTGTACTTTAAGAGATCACTGATTTCGTGTGTGAGTGTGTGTGTTTAATAGCTGCCCTTATGTACTTGTCTTAACGAAGACACTTAGCAATTCTGATGTCGAAAGAAATTACATCTTATGATAATAAGGGAATATTGCATAGTAAAAGAAATCTTTCAAATATGGAATAAAATTTTGTTAACGTGTGGTTTATATATATATATATATATGTATATATATATCCCAAAGTCTAATCCAGAATCCCTGGTCTTTTCCTGTAGCTAATTTTATAAGTCATATGTGTTAATCCAGTGCTATGAGAATGTAAAGCAAGTTTTTTCCTCCTCTTTGCAGTGCCCCAATGCCCTACCTCATTGGAATACATTTAAGTTTGATGGAGGTAAGTCTTTCTAACCATTTCTGAAAATACATGTAGTTTTGTGACTTAGACCCACATTCTCTAAGTAATTTTATATACAGTCATCATGAATTAGAAATGAAATAATCCCATTAATTTATTTAAGAGTGTGCAGAGAATTGCAGTTAGATGTAGGTAATCATGCTAAATCGTAAGGAAGTCTTCTTCGTACCTCATACCCTCTGGGTGTCCTTCGTTTGCAGTTAGCACTCAGTGATGAGCTCATGGTGTGTTCCCCTCTCCATTCTGTTGTTTCATTTAGTCAGCTTCCTGCCTTTAGTTTTACTCTGTATTCACAAAGGCAGAGTTAATATTAAACCAAAATGTTGACATTATAGTTCTCTTTTAGGCATTTATAGCCACATTGTTGGCTTTTTGTTTTGTTTTGTTTTTGTTTTTGTTTCTTGTTTTTAATGTTGAAAAGACCTGAAAAGAAGGAACTTGCTTAACGTTAACACAAAACTGGCAGAAAAGCAGCCCTCACAGAAAGCGTCACATATAAACGATCCCTAATAATTTGTCTGACTTTAAACCAAACGAACAACAACAACTAAAACGACCCACACCCTCTTAAAAGTGGAAATAACACATTTCCTTTTGCTTCCCATACTGGAGAAACACTTGATGGCTTTCCTTAAGAGTATCTGGAGCACATAAGCTATTAATTTAGATGCCTATGAAAATGCTTGCTCTTATTAATTGTGCCCCTTTACACAGGAAGCCTGAGTGCTGTGTATGTGCTTGATGAGGCATTCCTTCTCAGAAAGCACTGCCTCCCCGCAGGAACTTAAATCAGTACCCAGTGCTGAAGTGGAAGGCTTTGCATCTGCCCTTGGAAGTTAGTTGGCTTGTGCCCCTGTTTGAGATACACGTGTTTAGAAATTTAAGCTTATTTGTTTAGGTTATGTAACAACTTATGATTCTGATTTTTTCATCATTTAAATTAATGCATATTATTAGAATATTTGTTTTTATATTGTCCATAAAATTTGTTACTTCTCTGGAAGTACGTACTGATCAAACATTTTCTTTCATGGGGGCATATCTGTGAAACAATGATCCTCTTTCTCTTCATTGTAAAACTTCAGTATTATACAGTGTAGCTTTCCTTTTTTTCCCAGTATTAACGTGAAGTAAATTCTTAGAAGTCACCTTTTCATAAGCTAGATGGAACATTCAGGACTTCCCCCTGCTCCTGTTTGTACACAGATAATTTTTGATGCTCTTTATATTTCTAAATAAAGTACAGAATTTTAGTACAATATGTTGGTGAACAAGCTATTGATCCAAAAGTCAACATGTACATTTGTTTGCGCTTAGTATGTTTTTGTTAAAGGGATTTCTGATAATTGCATTTGAATACTGTGTGAGCAGGACCAGTGTAATGTCTAGGGAGTAGCCTAGCATATAGTTTTCATATGGAGCAAGAGTTTTTCTGCCCGATGTCTGTGTCAGGTAATCATCGCCTTGCTTATTGGGATCCCTCTAGTAAGAGCCCTGTTAGAGGGTGGGGTAACATCTTCATGTGGGCACTTGTCAGCTTTCACGTATCATCATCTTTCACAAAGAACTACGTGGTCAGCCTGGCGATGGGTGTAGAAAGAAAAAACTGATAACTACTTGTTAGAGTTGCTTTGTCTCGCTCCTGCCTTGCAGCTTAAGATAATAGCTCTTCCTTCGTCTCAGTTTTTCACATCACAGGGCTCTGTAGGCCTTCCAAACTCCATCTGTAAAAACTCAAAAAAAAAAAACGAGCTGCTCTTGGAGCAGCCAATTTTCCTCCATTTCTATAGCTTGCGAAAAATCTGTTTAGCACTAAATCCAGTATGGCTTCTGAATAGCTGGAGATTCTGGAACACACACACATTGGCAAAGTGCAGTTTTTCAAAGTGCCTTATGAAGTAAATTAAATAAATAAAACTGTCTTCTCTCCTGCTCTCACAGATAAATTGAATACTTCCCCACACAGCTAGATGTGTTTTTACCATTGAAAAATAAAATAAAATCACACAGTGAGCTATTGTATATGTTGTTTGTACTGTATAATTTGTCTGTGCCTTGGGAGAAGGAATGGTGACATCTGTCATACAACCTAGACAATAACAACTTTACCTCTTAGCCTGGTTTGGGTGTTGAAAGCTTATTTTCTTTCTCCTTTTCCTCATATGTAGACTTATTTGTTAGAATAACTGTTCAGTAGCAACAGCAATTTATTCTCGTGTTCCAACAGTTGAGTATTTTAAAAAATATTTTGTATTAATTTCTCCATCTCAAAAATATTTTTATAAACGGCAAAGAAAATATTGTCACTATGGAGAATCCATTTTTCATTAAATGCTGAAGTTTCAGCACTTAGTCCTTTTAAAAGTGTTAATTCATATGCTCTAGATTCAGAATAAGGGATTAATTCCTCATTTCCCATTTCGTTTAGTACAGGTGGACTCTTCATCTTCTGTCGAGCCCCATGGGGGTAGGGCGTATGCAGGCTCACAGTTCTGCTCCAGCAGCTCTGCAGAATTTGTCATTGTTGCATAGATGTTAGTGGAGCCTAAACTTAAGCACAGAAAACCGTGGTGTAAAGGGAAGAGAGACTTTGGAGTGTAGGAATAAGAATAATTTTCCAGCTTTGGTGTTGCTTCTTTTGCTCTCCTGATCTCACAACGGGACCTCTGGCAGAAATACCATAGCAGTTACAATGCTTTAAACAAAGTGCACCCTCTGTCTCACCTCAAAAGTTTTATTTCAAACCATTGTGCATCTTAAAGTTAGTTTGCAGTCTCCTATTATATGGGGTCTCTAGAAGGAACAGCTCTTTTCATGGAAAATGACAAATTTTTTCTTACGATTAAAATATCAAACATATCCACTGACTGTTAAATCTAATTTGCTGTGACTGAAATGTTCTCCAGTGAGATAAGATAATCTCCTGTTATAGGTCAGAGGGCTCTGGCTGATATATGACTGAAAATCTTGGTAGAGAATGTAGAGCTGTGTTTTGTGCTCTTATTTTTCAGCTTTTCTATCATCACCTAGTTAGTCATTCTTTATAAGATTTCCATTTAGCAATCCACAGAGTAACTTCAAAGAAGGCTAAAAGTTTATAAGCTGTTGGATAAGCAAGGCTGGAGTTATCACATGAATAATGGAACATGCTTACAGAACTAATTGAATTCATATTAGACGAAGATAAGTACTTAGCACTGATAAATAACAAGATAGGGAGCTGAAACTCCATCAAACGAACACATCCCTTTCATAATCTTACTTTATGTTGTGCCTGCATGCTGCATGCTATTTTATTGTTAATACTACAGCGAATCGACCTTTGTGTTACACGCAGCATCAAACCGTGCTGGCAGCCTTTTACCTCGTGTTGTAGCAAGTGGTTTTTCCAGCAGCTGTCTGTAGCAAAGGCCTTTGGTGTGATGGCGCTGATGGCAGAGGAGTGTCCTTGACCTGGTACAGTGCCTGCTGGAATTTGGGCACATGTGGATCTCATTAAGCACAAGGAACAGCTCTTCTAGCTGTTTGGTTCTGAGCTGCTGGCAGCAGAATCTGCTGTGCCAGGCTTCCAGCCATGGCATTAGAGCAGTCCTGGCCTGACCTCCCTTTGGTCAGGGCACAAGCAGAATGTTTGGAAGTGATGTTAAAAATTAGAGAAGTATTTATTAGTTTACTTATCCATTTAGTTGTAAGGTTCCAGTCACTCGACAGCTTTTTCTGAGACTTTGGAATCTTAATTCTTTTAAAATTCTCCAAAGTGAATTTGTGAGTGAAATTTGGTCAAAATGGGTTTCTAGCATCCTTTCTTGGCACCAAAGAGAGATGTGCATTTTTAAAACATACCAAATTGCTTATTAAACTGTCTTTTATCCAACTGTTGGAAGAAATGAAAATGATGTTATGTTTATACAAGAGATTCTGGAGCGGATGGGCTCCCGGCGGGTACGTGTTACTGTGACTTGTGCAGTACCAGGGAGGCACAGTGCTGGCTGCAGGTTTTGCTGCCGCTGCCCCGCGGCGTTAGAGCAGCACCGGTGATGTCTGTCACTCAGTTGGCAGCAGCTGCCTGCGATAAGGATCTGGAGAATCACCTGTGCAGGATCAGGGTTCAGCACATCAAGGTCGGGGCAGTGGCGGAAGAGTGGAAGATGCACGGGGGGCTCGGGCCACCTGCTGTGCCCAGATCAAAGGGGCGCGGGGTCAGGGGGCACAGCCAGCCCGGCCGGGCCTGTCTGCAGAATCGCTGCTTCAGGTTGTAAATCTGAGGGTGATTTCATTAAGTCCTTCTGGCTGCTGTTGGGGCATGAAATAATAAAATTTTATATCCGCTGCCTTTCCTGCTTCTGGCAGCCAGATTGACACATTGTTGTCTGCAGTGTTGTGGTGTTCTTAAGAAAATAAATGGAAACTATTAACTAATTAGAGGCGAGTCATTAAGCAAATGGATTTTAACTAGTGAATCATGCTTTCATAATAGCTTCACATATTATGTACAAAATAGCTATTAAAATATGAGGGTTATTTTAAGATTCAAAATAATTACTGAAAAGTGAATTGTCTGTGCCATTGCAATGTTTTCAATATATTGATCTGTTTGAGTCTGGCCATCAAACCTCATGGTCGGTTTGGTTCATGTCGTGGCGCTGTGATTTTTTTAGAGGAGCTATCCAATGCCATTGTTCAGCTAAGTGTGACTCGGTGGTTTTTATGAGAGAAGCAGCAAAAGCTGCCAGCAGTAAACAGTGAAAATAAAGTAACGTTTAGTACAAATGGTATTAGTATTATTGATGTATATTTCTTCTAGCATATGACCCAAGTACAACAGAGGTGCACCTCTTAACATTGCTATATAGTTTCTCAGTGTTTTTGCTAACTTTCACATAAAACATTTAAATTACTCCAAGTGTGGCTGCTTGTGAGCAGGACAGGTTGTACTAACTGCTGCTTATTTACTGACCTAGTGTTTAAGGCCCCCTGGAGTTTGTTTGAAAAGTTAAGAGATTTTCACAGTAAAGGTGCCATTTCTGAAATTTAAAGTGCTCTTTTCACCAGGAGATAAGTTCTCTCTGATTAAGTCAGTAATTCTTACTAAGCCATGTTTATAGAGGCCATAAACAATGGGTTCAGTGTGCTTGTTAAACCAGCTTTCCTTACCTCTCTACTCTTTTAAACAGAGACATATAAAATAAAAGGCAGGTGTAGATGTTAGTCCGATTTGGTTGGGTTTAGATGATTAATTATGGCTACAAGGAGTCCAGGAAGGATGGTTAAAAAAGGCTTGCAGTTGTAATCTGTGATGTTCAGTTTCAATGAATCGCTTCTTTTGACCCAGCAAATCTCTAGTGTGCAGAAAATTTAGTTAAGCAAACTGTAATATTCATATTTCCTCTTGTTTTACTCTCCACGTTTTCTGCAAAATCTGAGTGTACCAATTGTAAGTCCACTCTATTTAGCAGGTATCATCTCGTTTGTAAATTTCATTTTCATATTCAGGAAGTTGTGAAATGTGGATGTAAACAGCTGTATGGCTGTATGCAGCTTAGTGGCTGCTTTTCTGTAATTTGGGAAAACTGGGACAACTTGCAAGGCATACCTGTGAAATAATCTACATGTTGTTGCAATGTGTAGTATGCAATGGGATTTAATATGAAAACAGCAATTGGATGCTTGGAGTTTTTACTGAAATTCCAGTAGAGTAAATGCTTTAATTTCCAGGTTCAGCTCAGCTGATACGTACTGCATTTAGCAAAAGAACCATTTGATTATTTTCAAAAGCCCTTAAATCTATGTGATAATATCTTTATTAAAAAGCATAGTGATATGAATGATAGCTAAAACAGACTGTGGTGAATCAGTCAGTCTGCATTTCTCTGGGATAAAGCACAACTGGACCATTGAAAAACTGTATTTTTTTTCAATGCAGTGCCAGAGAGATGCTATAAATCAAGTTATTCTCTGGTGTTTTATTAAATTTGAGCATTTGTCTGTAGGGAAATCCACCGTCTTAATACGACTGTTGAGGTGTTTAAAGTAAGGTTGTGCTCTTTACTCTGTAAAGGTATAGCACAGCATTTAAATGTTAGCCTGCCTTTCTGATACAGTCATTTCTGAGCCGTGTGTGGAGGTGATTACAGTGATCAGCATTTACAGTCCATGCATTGGGAACTGAATCCCATTGTACTATATGCCTTGGCAGATATGTGCTTGTGAAAAGCCTATACAGCTGCAGAAAATCCCAACGTTTTGCTGAAGGGAAAGTTCGAAATCATCACTGGAGTTACAAAAACACCCATCGACAAGTTGGAGCACATTTGTTGCTTCCTTGGCAGGAATCAAGAGAAGGTTTTAATTTCTTCTGTCTTGTCCTACTAGCACTTGATTTTGACAAGCTTCTGGCTTTAGTTAAGTACGTTGCAAGACCTTTTTGTATGGGCTTTTTAGACTCCTCTGAGTATATGTGAGATTTTTAATTTTCTGAAACAGGAAGGAGCAAATCAGTTTGTCTGGTGCTTCCGGACTCCTAGAAGCAGCGAGGCTCCTGGATTGCTTTAGAGTTTATCAGATGCAGCCAAGGGAGTGACCTTTGGTTCCTGAAATGGAGAGGAAAGTACCTTGGTTTATCATGTGGTACTTGTGCTTTTTGTATGGAAAGCATTAAATGTAGGGTTTTTTTCCATTTAAGTTAAAGAAAATCCTCATAGAAGACCTAAACTTAAATGTCTTCAAAATGTTTTTAATAGTTATTGGCTTTTTTGTTTGTTCTCCCCCCACCACTGCTATAACCACACAGCAGCTTTATTTATAGACAGAGAACTGAGCCTTGAAAACTGAAGGTAATTATTTAGATGCCTAAGGCTCAACGTTGCCATTATTTTAGAGCTGTAGTTCCTTTCTTTTAAGGAAAACAATTCCCTCCACCCCACAAAATCTTAATTTAAAAATGTGAATGTTTATGTTCATTTTCTTCCTTGCTAACACACATGTAGTACTGCATATAATAAGTATTTGTGTTCTTGAATGTTTGTTTACAGTGAAGTGGGAAATTTCCTTAATCACCAGATTTTGCAGTTACACTTCTTCTGATTTTGAATTTACAAAACTGAATTTGCAAAGGGCATAACTGTGTACAGTTAGTGAAAACAAAAAGCCAACAACAACAACAACAAAAAACAACAAGAAAAGAACACTATGATTCAATTGACTTGATAGTGGAAATAGTGTTAAAATAAATGCTTAAGTATTGTTCTTGTTTCTCTGCATTAGAGATGCAAGATTCAGCACAAGATTAGGAAGCCAAGCAGCATCCTTTACTTTGTACATCTCTTACCTACTGGAAAAAACAGTAATTGTTATTTAAATTAGCTTACAAATACAAAAAAATAAGCTTCAGATCTTTACTTAGCTGGAAGCTGGTCAACATACAGTGTATCAGAGTTAAGATGAACATTAGCAGAGCTACTTGAAGCAACTCCTTGCTTGAATAATCTTAACCAGTGACTGGTTTGAAACCAGTGGTTTCAAACATTTCAGAATGAGCAATCTCAGGAACTTCCTTCCACAAATAGAATGTTAATTCTTTAACACTGTAAGATGAAAAAATGACATAAGTGGTGACAGAAAGACAGGAATGTTGGTGTTTGCTTTAAATGTTCGAGTATTGTAACACCGTGATGTTATGCTGTCAGTTGTGTACTTTATGCGTAGGAATTAGCTCCTTGTGTTTATACCTTCCTTTTCCTTCTCTTGAATTTGCTTATCTTTAGAAAGTGAGAAACATGGCCCTGGAAGATGTAGTGATTCTTAACGTAGACACCAACACACTGGAAACCCCTTTTGATGACCTTCAGAGCCTACCTAATGATGTGGTATGTATTAAATTATTTTATTCAACCATTTCATTACTTAGAAACGTAAATCCATTTGACCTGTTTGTACATTCAGTTGTCTCATTGTGCTGCTCTTAATATTTTGAGTAAACTGTTCTACCTCACTTGAGTTTTGATGAACATTGTGCATTTTTTATCCTGAACTTTGATACTAAGTGGATTGTTTCATATTCACTTCTATCAGTGCTCAGTGCAAATAATTAATGAACTTATTTTTGTTCTCATTCAAACTTCTGGTAATTTATTTTTTAATAGTTTGATAGAAATGTAACACTAGTGCTTGATGTATCCCTTTATTGAGCAAAAATACATCCAGCTTGTTACTTGCTGCTGTAATTATCTTCAACAAAAAGTGGAAATGTGAATAAGAGCGTAAGAAGATATTTTTGAGTCAGAGGGTGACTGCTTAGGAGAAAAAGGGGAAAATCTGTGGGTTTTTGTTGTTGTTTTTTGTTTGTTTTTAACTAGTTCAAAATATGCTGGCAGTTAGATCTATGCCTTTTTATGTGTAGTTGAGAAATAAAATTGATATGCAGGGAGCTCAATATAAGCTGGTCTGTTTGACGAAAAATTCAAGTAATGGTGAATACCCAGTGCCTCCTACTGTGACATCCCATCATTTCTCTATGATCTGTGATCCATTCTTCGAAAACAGTGAGCTGTAGATAAAAGGTCCGTCTTGATTGTGAACACGTTGGCTTTAGTCAAGTATTTAGTCTATAAAAGTTACTTCCATGAATCTTTCTGGCTTTTTATAGTTTTTCATTTTGATTTCACTCCCAGCATCCAAGTCTGCCAGCTGGTCATCACTCATGCCATTATCCGCAACCCGGGAAATGACAGACTTGTAAATTTCATGAAATTATGTAAGAAATGTCTGTGAGTGCTGGGCCTCAAACATGTATATGATTTGTCAACAATCAAGTATTATATTAGACTTTATGAGACTTCATTAAAGGAGCTGTTGTAGGTGCACTGTAGAACATCAGAAGAGACTTCACCAATAAACACAGAACTTCAAGCTTTGGAATGTAGTAAATTTTAAGAGACTTCCTTCCTTTCGTTATTTACTTTTACTTTACTTTTTTAACAGTAAAGAGTTGTGTTTTATTAGTTCAAATTTCTTGATTCAGTTTTCCACAGGTCTATTTAAAAGCTACATTTTGTCTTGGAGGATGTTTGGAGCATAGCAGAGGAAGTGCTGCCAGCAAATTCAATTAACTGGCATGGCTCACAAATAGCATATAGGGTGTAATTTTTTTTTTTTTCTTTTTTTTTTTCACAACTGCTATATAAATACAGCTGGGATTAATATTTGTTGTAACAAAGCCTAAACTTGAATTGTGTTGCTTTGTGTAATTAATGTTTGGGATCACTGTTTATGTCTTACTTAGTTTTGTTTCATTATTTTTGTTACCTAGATAATAAAGTATTCTCCTCTAGGTCTTTTCCTTTCCCTCATACTGCTTAATATTTGGCTTTGACCACTAGAGAGCAGCTGCTCTTCTTTGCAAGAATTGAATTTCTGTCAGTTCTTTCATGCATCATGTGTTTGGAACTGTAAGTGGATCAAGTTGTTCATCTCAGCAGGGAGACTCTAAAGCCAATCCATTATACTTTTTTTTCTTTCTTTTTCTTATTTTTTTTTTTCTTCCCTGGGAGGATGGGGAGATTCTGAGTGTACGTCTCTCCATGGATCTCAGTCTAAAAAGATACATTTATGATCTGAGAAACTAAAAATGTCTTCAACAGTTTCATTGCTCATGAATGGTTGTTTTGTCAAAGTATTCTGCCAGTTTTCAACTCAGTGTGAACAGCAAGTAATTCATGCACTGCTGAATATACACTATATTTACTTTGCTAAATTAAATATACTTATCTTCAGTAGTGAGGACAAACATCTGTGTGATGCATTTGCCATTGAGTAATTAATCCAGTGTAAAAATTGTAAAGCTCTTTTTATTTTTTCCCCTTTTCCTTAAACAGCCTTCTAAATCAAGTAAAATGCCTTGAAGCCCTATGATTACTTTGGAGTTTGAAGTAATGGACCATACTCAAGTTTCAGGATGGTGATATTGCTACCTATACAATTGATTCTCAGCAATCTAGGATAAACTTTCATTACTGTCTCTCCTACTGTCCAGAGGAACATGGGCTATAGTGAAATGTCTTCCCAGTTAACATTTGTGTTGCAGGAGAAGGATAGTATTGAGACAGTTCTGGTGGAACCAAATTAAGTCATTTCTTTGCCTTGGTTACCTCGGCAGTACCTGGTAGCAAGCAGAATTCAGGTTGGGACCCTGAAAATCAAGGTGTGTATTACAGAGTTACTGATTAACTGAAACGTGAAAAATTGTCCCTCCATCACCTTCTGCTTCTGATGGTTTGCTGAAAATCTGGCAGCATGAGAGCACCCTGGGAAGTAACTTTCCTTTAAAATAGTCAATATTAAAAAAAGAGATTTATTAAGGACTGTGATTACAATAAGTGCATCTGCTGCTGACAAGTCTCCTACACCACCGTCTGTGTTGCAAGGAATAGCAAAGAGAGGGGGTAGTATTTTTTTTTATGCAACCCTTATGGATTTATCATGTATTTCCAAATAAGTGTCATCTTCCAGGCTTAGTTGTAGCCAGAGCTTCATATTACAAGGAATAAAACATAAGCTGACTCTGTCAACTTGAGTTTTTATTAAATGGGACCGTGATGCAATGCCTAATGTACGGTACACAGCAGTAAAAAGATCTTACATATCTTATGACTGTGGATTGTACATTTGTACTGTTCTGTGAATATTTTAGGCTGTCAGTAATTTGGTTTTGTCCATTCATTAGCAAGTTGCTACAAGTGGGAAGCCTGTATTACAGTTTTTCCACTTAGTGGGAAATTAACTGCTTGCAGGAGAGCAAGAAGTACTAAACTACAACTCTATAGGAAAACCATTCCCTTAAAGGTGAATCCATTTTTATTTTTTAGACTGTGTTTGCAATAGAATGTTTCTTGCTTTATTCATGTTGACAACTGAAAAGCCTTGGACCTAATTAAAAGAATTTCCACTAGCACCTTTACTGAACCATTTCATTATGCTGCATTGCACAGATTGCATTTTGAAACATGGTGATAGTTTAAATCTGACCTTTAAACCTGAACTGCCAGAAGTATAAAAATCTTCTTTAAAACACTCTCAGGGTAGACTGCATGTATATGTGTCTGTTTGGCTAGAAATAATCTTCATATTGAGTGGTCACAGTCTTGTTTTTATAAAAGTACTACTATTTCTTTTAGGCAAGAGAAAATCGTAATTTCACTTGTGTACTTAGCAGAACTTTGTACTGCAAAATCTAATTGGTCCTGTGTATTAACTTTTACCAGAGTAAAAAATGAACTGTTTTTCTCTTACTTGTTAGTCTCTTTACATTTAATTTTCTTAAAATTATGACATTTCTATTGCAATAACTTGATAGGGGGAATAAATGGGTGCATATATAAGACAGACATCATACAGTTAGATTTAGTCTTAGGAGGGAACAAATTATCTGAAAGCTTAAGGAATAAGCAAAATATCTATCAGTGTTCTATAGAGAAATTGAAACTTTCAGTTTGTTGTGCAGCTGAGAATAGTCTTTTCCTTCTGCCCAGATTGCAAGTTATTTATCTTCAAACTAATGGTTAAAGAAAACCACATATAAAAGTGTTTGAAATGGATTTAGAAGTTTTAGAGGTGTTTTATTTCATTTTTAAGAACTACGTGTAAACAATTTACTTAATACAGGAAATGAAGTCCTATTTCATCTTTACAACTATCATCAGACTCCTTCAGGCACGAAAGAGTTTGGTGTGTTGTTCATATTTGAAAATCTGATTAAGCTGTTACACTTTGAGAATAACAGAAGTCCTTGAGAAACATAATCTCACTGAACAGCAGTGAGCTTGATTTTGGGACATGGCAGACTTTCCACTGAATCTCTTATCCTGTATCATGTCAGTATGTTCTTATAGGTTCATTAGTGCATGGATCATTGACATAAGCCACAGCATCCCGATTTATAAACAGTGCTGGACATGCTCTTGATTATTTCTCTTACCCTAAATAGCCGTAATGAAAGTTCTTCTATAGCTGAAGCTGCAGGAAAAAAAAAAAAAAAAAGTAAAAGCAAATCTTTTTCAAATTGATTTAATAAAAACAGGTGGCAATATCTAGTTTTATATATTTATGTATTTAAAACCTAACAACAAGATGAGGAATTATTCCCTTCCCTTTGGAAGGAACAAGTGAGTGATGTGCTTTCCAGAGAGCTAAAACTGAAGCACTTGAGCAGTTGATTCCTAAAACCAAATGACTGAAGGCAAGCTTGTAGCAAAACTCCAAGGCAGAAAAAACTCTTGTGATAAAATTTTGGAGATACAGATGAGGCCAGAATAAGCTTTTTGTTCTGAGGCGGAGGATGAGGTTCTGGAAGGGTCTTGGAAGTTAATTTGAACATTTGCACCATTGGTGTATGCTTTATGAGGTATTGTTCATACTGTCAGGAAACACAGTTGGTTGTGTTCACTGCGGCGGAATCTCCCAGTTCTGTAAACTGTACTCCTGCAATATCTGTTCTGTAGTGTGAAGCTGCTTTTTCAGAATAGCATTTGAGTTACAGAAAGTCTCACTTTTTATTGGTTCCTTTAAAGTCGTAGTACACATTTTCAGGAGTCGTGATCTCGTGCAATCAGGGCGGTGGGGCTCTGCGGCCCTTGGGATGCCGGCTCCTTCCTGCCTTCCGCGTAAGGAGTCCCACTGCGCTCAGCTCCTTGAAAAGCACTGGTGGAATTTGTTTCCAGAATGAACACCCGGATTGTTGTTTTGTATTGCTGGGTGTTCTGTGAGATCTGTCTCAAAAAATTACCTTGTCCTAGTTCTGTCTTCAATACCAAAAAATTGCTGCTGACATAACTATTTGTTAATGATTTAACAAACCCGATAACGGTTGCGGCACGGGCTCAGCAAGCTTGATGTTCGTCTCTGAAAGGTTTTTTATCTCCTTTCATGGCCTGTGTTTGGGAGAGAAAACCCTGTCACTACCAATAACATACAGGTACACCACCTTACTTCAGCAGCTCTCAGCACCAGTAAAGCTATCAAACTGAGAGCCTCCTCGTGTGTGTGAGCAGAGCTGAGTGCAGAGAACAGCGGTGGACGACCCTTGACGGCCTCAGCCCTGGTATACAGAGAACACATCTGGTGTGGAGGGCAGGGCAGGGCGGGCGCCCAGGGACAGAACGCACTGACTGCTGAGGGACACAAGCGCTGCTGTGGGGCTGGAAGAGGAGCTGGGCTCTGTGCTGTGCCCTGCTGGGTGCGGGCAGCCAGGTGTTGGTGTTGGTGCCACTGTGTGGGGCTGCAGCCGGTTCCAGCTGGTTCCGGCCGGTTGTGGCTGGTTGTGGCTGGCTGCAGGGCACAGCCGTGCCTGTGGGTCAGGCAGCGCCTCAGGGAGAGCGATGGTAGGAAAGGCCTTCAGATTTCAGCTCAATATCGGTAAAAACACCTTTGTGTGTCTGAAGTTTAATTCAGCTGATTTTTTTGTCATGAACTGTAATCAAGGATGGCACAGAACTCCATGGGCTGCCTTCAGAACAGTGTTGGTGGCCTTGTGCGGGAGGGAGGGCTGAGATGGAGCTGTTGTCATCCTGATGGTTCCGTGGTAGCCATAGAAATGGCAGAGGAATGATTTCAGAGCAGGAGGCTTCAACTCTGAATTAATGGTGTCCTTTTTGGTTGTAACTGTGAGAGCTTTTCCTTCAGCTGCGTCCCGTGGTGTGAAGCTGTTTGTGATACGAGAGTCACCTGCACTGGTGGTGTGATTTCAGGTTTCTGCTCTGAAGAACAGATTGAAGAAAGTTTCTACAACCACTGGAGACGGCGTTGCCAGGGCTTTTCTGAAGGCGCAGGCGTCTTTCTTCGGGAGCTACAGAAACGCACTGAAAATCGAACCTGTAAGTGGGGAAGACGTCGGGATCTGTGGGGTGGGCAGGTGGGGACTGACAGGAGTTCAAAGCACATAACCCACTGACTGCGGGCTGTACTTTGGCACCTGGATGACCAACTAATAAAGAAATGCAACAAGCGTGGTCAGTCACACAGGGAGAAAACGTCTCACAGGAGAGGGATGGGAGTTACTTCCTTTAGAAGAGAATAAAATTAGAAAAAAGATGATAAAAATGTATTCATTGATGATCATGGGAAGCCATTGCACAGCTGACCATTTTCTCTCTCAGCAAAACCTCAGTATTCACTGTTCTGTTTTTAAAGGCAGTGAAAGATTTGTTTCTTTTAATGTGATATGTGGGTAAATTTGAAACAAATAAATGCAAATTATGGAATCATGGGGTTTAAGAAGATAGTAAAAATTAATAAAGAAATTGTGCTTTTACAAAAAAAAATGTCTGGGGTTCAAACTACTGACACTAAACGTTCTCTTAGGGAAATTTAATCTCGTGCTTCTGGTTCAAAGCTGATCTGTAGTTAACAATGATTCTGTGCCATCAGAGCGGGGGAAAGATTTTTTAGTACTTGATCCTTTATTTTATTGCTTCTAGTGAGGCATCTGCTCCTGGCTTACTGCAAGGGCTTCGTGGACTTAAATACAAGTAATTCCAGCCAAATTCACTTGTTTCCATGTTTTGTGACATTTCTGTGAGGTACATAGGAGGTTTCTCTTAAAATGTGTGTGCATTAGCTGATAGACAGAGTCAAGGTGTCAGAAATGGTGTGATGAGCATGGAGCTATAATTTGTGAGATGCATTCCAGAAATACGGGAAATGGGACAAATAAAAATAATAAATGTAGAGTGTTCTGCAGAACACTTCCAAAAAGTGCCACATACATTCTGTTCCCATCTCTAATCTAAGCCAGGGGAGATTTAAGCATATGCAGTGACAAATCTCGGTATGATGGTCACAGGCTTATTTGATCTACTGCTGTTTAGACTACTGGCTGCTTCAGAGGATGCCTGTAGAGGGGAAACCATACTCTTGCCTTAATGTCATCATCTCTCATCCACAAACATTTGGAGGTAGAGCAGAAAGTTGGTGGTACCTGCGGAGAGCCTGAATACCCCTAGTGATGCTAAAATGCATTCTGAGTGTACATGGGGAGGGTGAATGAGGAGAATGAGAATGCAGGTTTGCTAGTTGAACAAAGGTATATTCTGCGTTCTGCTTTTCTATGAAGACTATTTGTCTACGTGCCAGACATTATTAGTACTCTCCCATCTAATTTTAATCATTGTGTAAAAGAAAGGAAGTTGGATGGCTGGCATAGTGTTTCTTGGGGTTGAAGATGTTTCTGTTATTAAAATTCATCATTTCTGTTGTTTTACATGTTATTCTTAGTGCCAAAGGGAAAAACTACTCAGTCTGAATTTTAGAGTCTCGTTACCACCATCAAATAAGCATCACTCCAAGAAGGCATGTTCAGGGTTCAAAAAGGACTTTTGAAATCAGCGTGATTCCTTCCACTTCTTACTTGGGGAAATGCATGTATGGTGTATGTGGGGGAAAAAATGAATAGCATCAACTTGTATGTGCACAGTTGGGTGGTATTGTGCTTTCAGAGGCGAAATAGTGGCAGATATTTGAATTGGTGTCCATATAAATAACAAAGATGTCAGGGAGACTTCCCTTTATTTACATGGGCCGTCTTGTTCTCTGATGCTCCTCCCAGTAGTTGCCAGGCAACTCTGGGAATATTGGTGTGTGCTTTGCCTGGGTGTGTGTGAGATTATCTAGTTAAGGAATTCGTGAAGAAAAATAAAAATTTAAATTGCTTTTCTGGAAATACCATCTGGTATTTTGAAGGCTGAATGTTAAAGATGAACATTCCAAATTAGTTGACAATGGCACATCCCTAGAAATAGCAACTTCAAGGGACAGCTAACCTCAGGAAGTAGAAGAAATTTCGTTTGTATATGATTTCATCAAAGAAGACATGTAAACATAATTGCACAGATATATTATAAAATGTAATTCTAAGGATCAGGAGGTGAAAATTTCAAAGCATTATTTCCCAAGTCATTTTATATGTTAAAAATCTTATTTCTGATTATAAATTTTAATATCATGTTCTATGTAAAAATAATTTGCAAAACATAGTGTTTCTTTCATGTGCTGAACACATCAGGATCAAATGACCTTGGTTCTGTTTCCAGTTCTGCCACAGGTAGCTTGTAGAGTATTGAGTGGGTCACACAACTACTCTAAACTTCATTTTGAAGTATGCCAACAGTGAATGCAGTTACTGAGAAACTTTTGTTGCTGTTGGAAAAACCATGTTTCAAAGTTAACTCAAAGCTCTTAGAAAACTACATCTCAAGAAGATGCAGCAAAGCTGCACACAGTAGTCCATAATGCAGCAAAATGATCAGAAAATGTACTCACTGTGTTCCCAAAAGAAAATGTGAATATAATAGTAAATCATCATCACTGGCAATTTGGAACATAGCCGACATCTTGCAGCTTAAAGCACTGTTTTCTGATGTGGAGCACTTCGGATGCTGCTCTGGAAATACCGCTCTTTGCTCTCATACAGTTCCATCTCCTTAGATGAGCTCTTACTCTGGAAACTTCTAATCCAAAGATTGTAATCTTATGTACTGTACATCCAAACCAGCACAAAAAGGGAGTCACTGCTGCTTGAACCTTCTGAGGAGTTCAGTAGCTATGACTTCTGCAAGGAAACACGTATCCAGATAGTGCAAACTGCAACTGTAATCATAAACGTTGATATAACATAATCACTGATTCATTTATGTTTCCTACTGCACTTACGTGCTTCTGGAAATTGCTTTAAGCCAGGTGGATTGTGTGAAAGTATATCTCTTACATGTGGTGTACTTACATCTCCATAAACCTCTGCTGCTGTCAGGTGCAGTAAATCACTTTAGAAGTGGTGTGTTCACTTTGGCTGTATGGATGCAGTTTGTTAATGTTAAGAATGTTATTTAAGTCTGTAGCAGTGATGCCACTGTGAACACTTTGCTCAAATGAACGATTTTTTTAAAATACCTAATTTTTTTGCCGTTTGTGGAGGGGATGTTTTTATCATACTGCCGTACCTTTAGGTTGTTTGTAGTACTTAGAAGTTGTGTGTATTGGTAACCGGGGAGGAACAATGAGACCTGTCATCTGCGCCGCGGGTGTTGGCTGTGCACTTTGTTATGCTGACACCTAGCGGTTAGCAACAGCATTTCATGGATCTTATTTCACTGATGATCTTTGTTAAGAAACAAACATCATCACATCTGTGGTGTAGGTGAGTTCACTGCCTAGATTCGCTAAAAGCAGTAGCAGGTCGGGTGTGATGCAGTACAGTGACTTGGCTTTAGGTTTGTCGTGCCCATACAGGTAACGTAAGCCATGCGGATGCTTTTTCACCCAGAACTCGTGTGGCAGCTCATCAGCAGGCTCCAAGTTTGGCAGTCTTCTGAAATGACACGCTTTGCTGTGTGCTCTCTGTGTATGTGGTCGCTCCAGTAGATATTGCAACAGGCCTTATGTATGCTGAATACAACTTATTTTTTTGCTGGGAGATTTGGAAAACTTGTTTACTTGCACCATATAATCTAAACATTTCAGTTTCCAGATCTTTGTTCCTTTTCTATTTTGTTGCTATCAGTAGGTGAAAATTTAGGTGCTTTTCTTGAGTGCTGCTATGTTTTAATGGATAGCTAAGGCAGTTAATTTTAATATTCGTAACACAAGTAGATATCAGCAGTTATGTGCTGCTGCAGGTCGTTTTCTCTTCAACTTCACAATTTTGATTTGATAATTTCTCTTTACATGCAGACACTGCAGACTTTGGTATTTTCTAAATGATTCAGTATACATGGCATGCTGAACTGAGAGGTATTTATAATACAAGGTGAAATAAAGTAAATTGTTTTCCTCCTGATCTGCCTCTGAAGAGGCCTGTCTGTGCATGAGATTCTGGTGTTTGTCTGTATTTGAATCATGCTGCCCTAGTTTGTTTTTAAAGTTGATTATGGATTTATTAATGCACATATTAGAGTGATGTCCTCTGCCTTCTGTGTGAAAGTTTCTTTCTTGTATTGTCAAACCTGTGTCAATCTGATTTTGGTGGAAATGACAAGTGTCTAGCATCTTTCACACTGGATTCATACAGTAGCACTATATGTGGGTACTTGCAGTATGAGCCACTTTGTGGCTCTAATTTGTAACAATGTCTCTGAGGGGGTGAGATTAATGCAGTTGCCATAGTTGTAGTGAGAACTGTAGTCTGCATTATTTGGCTTTTGCTGTTTTCTTGAGCCCAACAAAATCCTTCATTGCTTTGCTCTCTTTGAGAGGCCCTTCTCTCTATCTGCAAATGAATTGCAATGAAGCAATAACTGTGTTATCTATCGAGTTTTGCACTCTTTCTAAACAAAACAGTCTGAAAAGCGGGGAGGAAAAGAGCAAAGGAAACTGACTGTGCTGTAAGTGTAATTATAATTTTATGTGGGCATTGTGAAATCAATGTCAAACTGGAAAAAAATTGGTTTTAGCATCATGTGAAGCATTAATTTATTTTTATGCCTTCATGATTAATTAATCAGTGTTACTCAGGTTTATCAGCCTGTCCAGCCATTCCTTGTATAACTGAATAATTTCTGACTAACTTCAGTTGTTCTGGATTGAATTGGTTTAAATTTAACTTAAATATTCTTCAGATAAAAACAAAATCTCAAAGGACGGAGTATGAGTGTGCTTTTCCACTTCCACTTGCTGTGGACTCTCCTTGGTGCAATCAGTTGGTGATTTATGAAGTGGGCAATTGTGTGCTTAAGACTTTATAAACTCCTTGTAATCTTAATATGAAACTGTACCTGTTGGAACTATATAACTCAGTTTTCAAACTGCTGTATCTGAATTATGTTGTATGTATGTACGCATCATTGGCTTAGTTCTATTGTCCTTTCAAGTCCTGCTAATTTAT